TATACCTTGGAAGCGCTTTGGCCGCCCTGACTCCTGCTGGCGCAAAGACTGCAGACGTCTTTGGCCCGTGACAAACGAAACGTTCTGACTGTCAAGATCTTTCGCGCGACTGCAGGTGGGAAAGCAGTCAAAGTCAAATCTGCTTGTTGGCACCCTGGGCGTGTCAATCCAGCAAATGTAGCAAAACGCATTGCATGGTCCCGCTCAAAGAGACACCTATAGCAGATTGGCAGCCTTCCGTCAGGAGACGCAAAATCAATCCCCGGGGCTGTCACAGCACACAAACTGCATGTCAGGAAAGGTTTCTGTGTGCATGCAAGGCAACTGGGTCTTTGACGAGACCATGAAAACTTTGGATTCGAAAAGATTTCCTTTGCTACAGCTGGCTGAAATGCATGTAATGTCAGATCTGGTGTTTGGCAAGTATGACAACACAGATTGGTAAATCTTGTCCACACTGCCGGTTTCTTCTGTTCCAAGAAACATTGCCAACAGTGGGGCTGGCCAGTGGGTTGGCCAGTCGAAATGTCCCAAGCTAGGGCATCGGCCGAGTCACTATGCCCACATGTGACACAAACGAGCTTTGTATCATGGCAGCTTGCACAAACCCATGTGTGCGCACACTGCAGACCTCTTCCCGTGTCTGGATTTGGTTTTCTCTGTTGGCACACAACGCATTTCGGAAAAGTACAGTCGGTGCAATAGGCATGGAATTTCCATGTGTTATCTGCTCGGAATTGTTTGTGCTTCTCACGAACCCGTGTGAAGATCACTTCCTTTACCAGCGCAGGCGGAAAAGCTCGCAAAGTCAAGTTGCTTCTTGCACAACGTCGACATCTCAGATCCTGGTTGTTCGGTGTCTGCGTGACTTGTGGGGTTTTCGCTTACACGCTTGGGGTTAACACAACGGAATAAAATCAAAAACTATTCACCGACACAAAACCAAACAATCCAGGACAGGCCTTCTTGGTGCGAAAGCTCTCTGGGTGACGTTCTTCTGCCAAGCAGATCCAACACAAGCAACGCAAAGATGTAGCCAATCCTCGTAATTCTTCTGTGGCAAAACAATTTTCTGGCCAAACTTCTTTGCACCGTGTGCAAGCAACACTTTCACCGGGTGCCCGGCTAACATGCGTCCCAGGTTTACACTCATGCCGGTAGCAAAGCATTACCCCAGTTTCCCCTGCATCCCAACGCCTCTGCGTTTCTGTGGAAAAGGCACCGCGGCGACACAAATCTTGACACTGTTCACACATCAAGAAACGAGTTCTTCGCTGGTTGGTTTTCGTCCGCTGACATTTGTAGCAGAGAAGGTCATAACCAAGCAAAATGTGTTTCCAAAGTTTGTCTTTCGAAATATCTTCGATAAAACATCGCGCCGGCCACCTGAAGTCTTTGTCACTTGCTGTCTCAGAACAAGTTCTGCACGGGAGCAAGAGTTTTGTCCATGCGGGTTGTTTGCGACTGTCGACAGAGCTTTGCTTTGACGCTTCTCCCCACTGGCGCTGCAGCTCTTCCAAGGTGATCTGACCTCGAAGGAACTGGAACAAAATAAACCATCTCAACCAGCTCGCACGTGTATATGGGGACCGCCACATCATTTCTGTCTCCCAATTCAAGTCACAACTTAGGTGGAACTTCCAACCCATCCCCCGCGCTCCAAACAGACAACTTACACCGCAACATGGATCTGGATGCGGAGGTCGCTACGTCACCCATTTAAATCTTTTAAAGTAAACTTTGTGGCGCTAAAATGCAAAAAAAAAATCGGACCCTAGAGAACCGTCACATGTTCAGACAAAAGTGTACCGAATGTGTTCTTCTCCCACCTTGCTGCCTTGCCAAGAGAAGAGTGGGGCCTGGAAGATCAGGTTGCCGAAACAAGTTCGGATTGTACGGCTGAATGATCAACATATCATCCGCCCGTTTCACTCTGGAACGTATAATGTAAGCCCTCAAGAAACTGTCCAAAGTTGGCGTCATTGTCCAATGCAAAAGATCGCCCTTACAGGCACCAACTGTGGCCCCACAGTACTGATGCGCAGTGCCCGCAAAATCTGGAGCAAGCTGAAAACCAGTCCGATGGATTTCAATGTTGCCATCCCGCCAGGTTCGTCGACAAGGACGCAAATCAAACAGAGAAGGCACATTCTTCTCGGAATTGGCATTGGAGAGTTGGATGCGCAGATACTGCGGGAAAGCCTCCAACAGAATTTCTGGCTCAACTAGCTTTGCAATTCGGAATAACTCTGCACCTGGCAGACACCACCCTACCAAAGTTCCTGTCGCATGCTTAAATGCCCCAACGTCTCTGTTACAAGTCTCTGTCAGCCGGACAGGCATTCCTTTTACGAGTGGTAGAACACCCAATAGACCGGCAGTCTGCTTATCATGTTTGCGAAGCCATTCCCGTTGCTTCGTGTGCGCTTCTGCACTGTTTCGGAAAACACTTGAGTCCCGAGGCTCATCCTGGGCAACAATCCAAAATACTTTACGTGAGCTCGCCTTTGCAAATAGCACAGCATGGCTGATTTGGGCTTGATACTTTGGCAAATTGAACGGATGCACATATGGAGCCGCTGCAAATTTTGGCGACGTGTGTGGACCTTCTCCCTCTGGGATGCTCAGTAAGACACGGCAACGTCGTAGTCTTTCTGCTTGGCAGGCTTCACACTCTTGCTCCTTGAGAGTCTGCCACTCTGTGTCACCCCGGACATTTGGCCACACCTCATCTTGCAATGCCTGTCAGGGCTCGCCAACCCAACCAACGCTACCCGAGAATCAACGTCCCCTGCAACATTTTGCGACACTGACCTCCTTCTAGACTACAGACATTGCAACATCTTTATCCCTTTCATTGCAGATACACTATAATAACCCTTTTTAGCACACGACAAGCTTCCCCTGCCTGACACATTTGGTTGCCGCAGCCAACAAAAGCCTGCCCTGGCAGCCAAGTTCCCACATGTTGGGTGGGAAGGCCATGAGTGAAACAATAAGTTTCCCATGTCTCTTTGCCAGCGCGCAGTTCCGACAAAACATGTTGTTGCCATGGGTCATCTGTTCGGTGTTGTCTATGCAGCACCATACAACTACCTGGCTCATCTGGGAAAGTTTCCGGGCTCAGGCCCCACAATGCATCAGACAATCGTTTCTCTGGCCCTGACAAGTTCAGTCCGGTGCTGAAAGGATTTGCGAACAGCGCACGTTCAGCCACTGGGGGGAGCTGTTTATAGTCTCCTACAAATATAACATTCAGGCCTCCATACAAACGCGGGTTCTGCTGCGCGTCAAGAGACCAAGGATTGCGAACCAGTGCCCGCCGACAGTTTCGTTCCAAGAGACCCAGGACGCGCAATGCAGCGCAAGATATTTCATCGACAATGAGCCACCGCAAGCGGCTACAATGCAAGAACATTTTGGCCACATCTTCATTCTCACCTGTGCTTTGGTTCCCGTCCTGCACCATTGGAATACAACCCCAGGAATGAATTGTAGCGCCGCCAACTAAGGCAGCCATGGAATTCTGCGCTGCTAAAACTTGATATTGTACACCCATTTCCCACCCCAGGACATCTCCAAAAAGTTTGGTCGTCCACTTAATGCACTGGGACTTTCCCGTGCCGGGGGCTGCTACCAAAGTAATTCGACGTGGTTCAGAACGCAAACCTTGTGGAGTGTTCTGAAAATCTTCCATGGCTTCTGTCTGGAGCCTTCGAGCAACTTTCCTCAAGTATAGCAACTGTTCTGCATTCGGTTGAATTAGTTGTTCCTTCAAACTGTCAAACCAACGAGCTACATCCAAAACATTGAAGCCAGGATAAAACTGGCTAGCACTGCCGTCCAAGGCTTGCTTTGGACGTCTTTTCCGTCTTGTGGGCATTGCGGGGTTTTCCGGTATGTGGCCATCCCCCTGCAAGGTTTCTTCCCATGGCAAACGGCTGGGATTCCACAAGGCCGCGCCTATCTCCAGCGCATCTTGCACAGAAGCAGATACATGGTCAAATTTTCTCTTCGCCGGCTTCCGGGGCTCAGCATACTCAAACACGGCATGGAGATCTTTTAGGTCCCAAGTTTGTTTTTTCATTGGCACTTGGTCGGCAATGTCTTCTGGCAAATCCACATCGCGCTCACTGCTTGCACAATCACATATGGACATGAACTGTTCAATCAATTTTTTTTGATGCTTGCTCACAATGTTTCCATCGATATACCACTTCCACGCTGCCAAGAAAGTTCTTGGCTGTTCAGGCTGTTTCCCGCGCAATCTTCTGTTTGGCACATAATCCAAATCTTCTATTAGGGGAACATGGTAGGACGCGTGCTCTGGCACCAAGGTCCATGGACGCATATACACACAATACAAACGGGCTGCCTCTTCACCTCCATCCCGGTCTCTGCGAGGTACCTTTGTCCTCATAGGCGCCGGGACAGCCAGACAAAAACGTTTCTGCAGGTACCAAACGGACGACAAGGCTTCTAACCCAGGGGAATCTGGATATGGAACTTGGTCTGGCACTTGTAGATTGTATCGGTTCACGTTTTTGTCATACCGTTTGACTTCCCAATACATACAAAACTCCCACGGGCTCAAATAGAGAAGTTTGTCAAGGTTTGGTCGATAGCCGTAAAAGTCACAAAAATGACCTACCAACACCCGTTCTTGTCTGACTTTCTCGTCCACACATGGAATAATTCTTTCTTTGAATACGGTTTTTTTGCTGCACTTGCCGCATCTTTCCTCCAAACGTTTCAGCAACTCGTACCCAGGAAAGTTTGCATGTTTGTATGTTCGCACAAATTCAGCGTTGAAGTAATCCTCATCATCGGCGCGCATTGCCAAATTCATGTCTTCATTGCCGGATCGTCGAACCTGCTCCAGACAAATCCCTATCTGCTGGTTAACTTATCTAATCCTATATTCACCACATGTACCTTCCGAAACATTCCACACCAAACCAAACAAACAGAAACACACACACACACACAAAATCACGCAATCACGACCGAGCCACAGTTTGCAAGTAGAAATCACTCATGGTTCGTACCAACAATCGATGCAACTGCTGCCCCCGGGTCTTCCCTTCAAACGACTCACTGGCATAGCACAGGGCCTTACACGCTACGTCCAAAGCTTTTTTGTTTGACACCTGCGCCTTGAAAGTATATCCACAGAAATAGCCGGTGGCTAAACGGCCTGCTTTCATTGCTTTGCGGGCCGTCACCTCCACAAAATGATTGTTTTCGTCTTGTGTGCACCCAGCCCGGCACAATTCATCGTCGTGTGTTTCTGGTATGATGGGCATGCGATAGTTTGGGCGGGTGTCTGTGTTGAATCGAAACACAGCCGCAAAAGCAGGGTGTGTGCCACTAGTCCACGGTGTAGAACGCGGAGGTAAAATGACTCCCAAACTGTTGCGCCGCCCCTGCACCCGCCGTCCCAGGCGACGACAATTTCCAGGACAAACCACACGCCACTTGTCCCTCCACTTTGTTTTGCATGGAAAGTCATGCTTGCAACGCTTAGCATGCCCTTTCCTCAAACAGCCGGCCAAAGGCTGCCAGCCTGTTTTGCTCCGGCGGTGAACATGTTCCTGAACCCGTCCATACACCCACTGTACATCCGACATATATTTTGCCTTCCATTGCAACCCTTCCTGACGGGCTGCTTCAATCTGCGAGCTGTCCTCCCAGGCCAAAGCAGGGCCACCTTCAACCAAATGCTTCGGCCAAAAGCACAAAGGATCATGCTCTCGCTTCTGAAAGCGATCCCACCACTCTTCATACAGATGCTCTGCGTTGGCATGATAGCTCCTGGCATCTGGCGGGCTCTCATGTTTCACCCACTCATACCATTTCACCAGAGAAAGTGGATCAAGCAATTTTGCTTTCATCCTGGCTGCAATATCATCCAGTGAATGATACTGGTACACATTACTTGAAAAAACTTCGAAATGAAAGTGGGGCGAGCTGTGAAACTGAAACTCTATGGCCCCTCCCAAAGCTACAGCAGCTCCAAATACCCCTCCCATGGGCAAAGTATTTGCTCCGAACCTATCTTGGCACGTACAATGAGGGCATTCAAGGCACATTCGAAGGCCTAGGAGCTGAGCCAATCGGACTCTCACTTCCAATTGAAAAGCAGCCATCACTGCATGAGGGTCTTGGGCTGCTAGTTGCGCTCGTACCTTGGCACTTGGCACCGGCATATCCACAGTTGCCTCTTCTTCGACCAGTTTCGGGTCCAGTGGGCCAATCCATTGTCTGGCCCTATTTTGCTTCATTTGTTCAGTCAGAAGCAAAGGGTCTGTTTCACGGGCTCGGAACATTCGCAACACTAATCCAGAATGCTGCTCGTTCATCGAGATTGTCATGAACACACAGTCCCCCCAAACAACTCGGGCACCCAGTTGCACATGGCCCATCATTCGCCTAGTCAACGGATTGCCAGGTAAATGGGCCGCCAAAAAGTTGACGCGCTGGGCTACCCGTTGTTCTTCTGGCTCCAACTCAACGGCGTATGGCAACCTGGTTGTATCACCTGCTATTGCCCGTAGGCCTTCTCCACATTTGTAATGCCCGGTGTGCAAGACCTGGTACAATTTTCGCATGAGCGCTACGTGATCTCTGGCCTGCGAGCACTCACACGCAGTAACCACATTCTTTGATAAGTTACAAACAATGTACCCCAACATGTCATTCAATCTATTTACTCCGTCCTCCTTCCATCAAGTCCTGGTGGCCTTGCCTTTTACTAGGCAAACTTCTACGCAAAAACATTCCCCAACGGATATTTCACGCTCGGCAAAACCCTTACCCCTCAAAATAGGAACACAACGAACTAGAATCCACGGGTCCTCGAGAACCCAAAAGGTGTCGGAAACACATTGGTAGCTAGCTCGATGCCAGGATTGATAAAGGGCTTCGTATTGCAACACAGCCAGTACATCGACGTGACTCAACAAACAGATCGAGACATAAAAAGATAAATAGGTAGAGAACTACATAATAGATAGATAGATAGATAGATAGATAGATAGATTAGATAAGATTAGATAAGATAAAATAAGATAAGATAAGATAGATAGATAGATAGATACATAGATAGATAGATAGAGATAGATAGATAGATAGATAAATAGATAGATAGATGGATGATAGATAGATAGATAGATAGATAGATAGATAGATAGATAGATAGATAGATAGATAGATAGATAGATAGATAGATAGATAGATAGATAGATGATTAGATAGATAGATAGATGATTAGATAGATAGATAGATGATTAGATAGATAGATAGATGATTAGATAGATAGATAGATGATTAGATAGATAGATAGATGATTAGATAGATAGATAGATGATTAGATAGATAGATAGATAGATTAGATAGATAGATAGATAGATAGATAGATAGATAGATAGATAGATAGATAGATAGATAGATAGATAGATAGATAGATAGATAGATAGATAGGTAGATAGATAGATAGATAGATAGATAGATAGATCGAGATAGATAGATAGATAGATAGATAGATAGATAGATAGATAGATAGATAGATAGATAGATAGATAGATAGATAGATAGATAGATAGATAGATAGATAGATAGATAGATAGATAGATAGATAGATAGATTAAGATAGATAGATTAGATAGATAGATTAGATAGATAGATAGATAGATAGATAGATAGATAGATAGATAGATAGATAGATAGATAGATAGATAGATAGATAGATAGATAGATAGATAGATAGACGATAGATAGATAGATCGATGGATAGATCGATAGATAGATCGATAGATATCGATCGATCGATAGGTAGATGAGGGATAGATAGATAGATAGATAGATAGATTGATTGATTGATTGATAGATTGATACATTGATAGATCGATCCCCCTGATGATCTGTCGCTGCTACCAGCCTCCACCAATTGCGGCCCGCCCCGCAGTGTTCGGAACGAACCTAATGCTGAACCTTGGTTTTCGATGTAATGTCGATGCCAAACGGATCGAACAATTGGCACTGCTGTCCAACTTGTTGCAGTTTGTAATTCCACTCGGCGAGCGAAGGCCCGCAAGAAAGCAGTAGGCGTGACCCAAGCCGCATAATTGTCTTCTCCCCACTGGCCCTGACGTCTCCACCGAGGCGTTCCGGGAAAGTCCGGTCCGGAAACCATGCGTGGTATCTCAAAAGGAAGAATTTGAGAAAAGTATTTCGACTGCCATTGAGGAATGAACTGCCGGTCCAATGTGACATCTAAATCAGCAAAATGTCCGAGAATTTCCGTTTGAAGATCTGGCACGGCTTGATCCCCGTACGCGTTGACATCAAAAATTTGCGTGTGTCGTTCCACATTGGCCAAGGCGAGCTGCAACGTCTCACTGGCAGCGCTTCCCGGGGTTGCATGCTTCTCTTTCCATAGACCAGATGCAGCTGGAATGAGATCCACCAAACCTGCTGACAAATCCGGGCAAACACGCGAACATTCTAAAACAATCTAAACCACATGTTACAGAACCAACCTCCGTTCCAAACCTGCCTGGCCTGGTGGAATGTGTCCTTGGCGTTCTTCCAGTGGCACATCTGCTTCTGTCTCTGGATACCACCTTTCCACTTTGGCCTTCATTTGCTGGCGCAACTCCTCAGCTTCTCCTTTACCCGCAAACGCCTCATGGCCCCTTCTAATCAGCTCATACAAGCAGAGCAACACCACGCCAGGTCGTAAGAACAACGATTTGCAGCGTCCCAGCATTTCTCCCAGTTCATTTGCCAATGTAAATCTGACAAGATAACGTAAACTCTCCGGTGATCTTGGAATTTGCTCCATGTCCTGTTCCGACAAAGGGCCTTTCAGCTGCCGTAGTATATCCTGCCAGGGCATCACAAAACTGGAAACATAACCATGCATCGCAGTCCGCCATTGCTTCTGCCCAATTTTTTCTTGCAGTAGGTGCCCCCTGTCATGTTCTATGTAGAAAACGTTTGTCGTCGTCCAAATCGGCAGTGCCACACACATTTCCACAAATCGAACACCATGCCTTGCCACAATTGGAGACATGAAACCCCAAAAATTGTCATTGCACAGACTCATAGGCACACCGTAATCAGCCTTTTGCCCCATGGTGGCCCAGCATTCATTGCATATAGGAATCAGGCAATCAGCGCACACTTTCTGGGCCTCATGTTTTCCACAAGACGCAATATCTTCGGGGCAACACAACATTTCCATGTCCACACTTTCTGCGCCAACGCCCACCAGCACGCGACACCACGGCCCTCCGACCTGCACCACAGATTTTGTGACTTGATGCTACTTACTTTTTCTTGTAACACTGTCTCCTACATCCTCTTACGGCTAAACATTTTCTCTGCATTCTATGTTTCTTCCCTGGCCTGCAAATCTTCGTCCTCCGCAAATTGAGGCCCGCAACCATACAAACGGCGGAACCTTTCCATTCCAAAGTTCACTTCCAGCACTGGACGCCCGAGTCGCAAAAGATCTGCCCCCTTCCGCAATTCTAGTTCTGATGCTGCAGCACTTTGCGCATGCACCTTCTTCGTTGCACAACATACACAGATCAACATCTCCAAGCCTGCATCATTGCACGCAACGTTCAGTTGCCAGATGGCTCGCCGATCTATCGACGGGCCAACCAGTGGCACATGTTCCTCCTCCTTTGCCCTGATAGCCGCGCAATACAGTGCCATGTTTTCATTACACACATCCTGTTCACACAAGCAACTGTGCCTTTGACCAGACAGCGCCCCACCATGCTCCCTGCACAAATGTCCACTTAAAGCCGTCAAGTCGTCACTGCACCAGCCACAGCCTTTAAACGCACAATGCGCTAGCGGTAAGCTAATGCCTCCGACATCTGTCCAACTCTCACAATGGTCTGGGTCACGCGGATCGACTGGTAACAATGGCCACTCTCTCAACTCTGCGGCTATCTGATGCACAAACTCATCCAGCATATCTTCATCGGTTTGCCAACTTTTTTTCTCATATATGCGACATTGGCAAGCCATCTCGCCCGAGCCATCGTCGCTACTCAGAGAATCAGCTTCACTATTCGATTCCGAACTCTCTGCATCATCACTTTCTGTCTCAGCATCCCGACTTCCCATTGGTGCAGAATTTCCTGTTAACTCTGCCTTCAGTTCTAGCAACATACGTCTTGTCGGTCCTGCAGGCAAATCCACAGCCACTCTCCAGTTGCAACTGTGCACCAAAGCCTCCCAACTGGTACATTGCAGCGGTTTTTTTACTTCGTTCAACCTCAGAAGATCATAATGGTTCCCTCGACGATGCAACAAGACAATGTCATGCATAAGCAAGGCATCTCGCACCGTGCTGATATCCCACTCATGAAACTCCAGCTCGCGCCCGAGAATCATCACAGAACCCTGAAATGGTACCGGGATGATAAGAATCTTCACACCGAGCACTCGGCCCAGTGCGGCTATTTCAGGTGCATCACCCCAATATGGGCCATCCAGAACACGAACTTTCTGCGCTACATGAAGAAGCTTATCAAGCACATACACCTGGCTGCCCTCCAGCTGCCCCACTTCCAGTTCTGCACAAGCGGTCGCAATATACGCTCGACAAACCTCTTCCCACCCATCAGGAAAGGAAACAAACATATGCAGGTCAGCAGCTTCCCACAAAAAAACTAAAGCAAGCATGTACAATCGCCATGGGCTCGAAACTGCTTCCCAAGAAAGAGCTCTCACCAGCGCCGAAAAAAAACAATACCCATCGCCTTCTATTGGCTCCAAAGCTCCCTCAAATTCGTCTCCAAGCAGAGATAAGAACTCACCTATCTCTTCATCACAGTCTCCTGACATGGCTTTCTTGGCCGTCTGGCCTCACACCCCAGGACTTAGGATGTCACGTTATGTGTTGCTGTTCCCTTTGGCACCTGAAAACATCCGTGTCAACATTCTCTCTGGTTTAGCCCCTTTCCACACACGCTTCGCACATCCTGCATGTCTTCAATGAAATGCTTGATCACTACACTGCCCGTTGGAACCACACTCTATGTCTTACTGCCGACACTCTGTTTCTGCATTGCCTTCTGCAGTTTGCGTATCTGTTTGCACCGGTCAATTCCCACATATTCTAACTCAGGCACTATCCACAATACATACAGCTATCATGAAAGAGCCGAGATGAACACACAAGTCACAAGCAGACCAGATGGCGAAAACACAAAGATGACCAGACAAGGACAAAGAAATGAAACAGAAGCAAAAACCTTCAATGATCTGGATGCTGGCGACCGAAAAGAAACAATCGCTAGGCTACGAGCATATGAAGCAAGAGCGGTAAACGCCAACATGCGATCAAAAATGCCCCACAGAAACTGGAAGCAAGTTGCTCAGAGAACATCCAACCAGCAGCATGAACAAAGCTGTACAAAAAGAACTGCACAGTTACACTGCTTGCCAACCAGTCCACAACAGTAAAGCTGCGCTTTCTGAGTTCCCGGCCTCGACTCCGTGCACTTCTTTCAAAACTTCCTGGCCCCAGAAGGCAACACAAATTCAAAACAATACCCTGCTCTAATCTTTTTCGACATATCAGGCACTCCAAATGTCCAAGACTATGCAACTGACTAGAAAACAAACATTTTCTTGATTGTCAGCCCAGATGGCTTCTCCCCTGAGAAGTCTTCCAACAAGCCAAGGACAACTGCACCATATTCCATCTTTTGCGCAGACTGTCCAGACTTGCTCCCCTAGGGTACAGGCCTCACATTCGCCCCTACAGCAGTCTCACATTCGACCCTACTCCAATTCAGGCCACACAGTGTCACATTCGACCCTACCAAAATGAAAAGCTAGAAACAGCCACTTTATGCGAGAAACATAGGATTTCCTGAATTTCCCAACTCTCCGAACCAGCTGTACCAGCCATTCCTAATGATCATGGGACGGTCATCATCATCATCATCATCATCATCACCCTCATCATCATCCTCAGCCTCATCATCATCTTCATCATCATCATCATCATCATCGCCATCCTCGTTTCGTCTTCTTCTCCTTCATCACCACCATCATCATCACCACCACCATGAATAAGCGCTATGATCACCCGACTTACATCCTCATCCTCACCCTCATCATCCTCATCATCACCATCATCAACATCATCATCATCATCCTCATCCTCATCATCATCATCATCACCATCACCATCATGATCTTTGACGTGCACTTCCACGTACTTGATCATGCAATACGCCCAATGCGTTTTGTGACCTGTTCTTCCCATCTCAAAATGGCCCCTCCGGGCCCATCTAACAGTCTCTTAGCTGCAACATGACTCTTTGCTACTTTTCTTTCCTTCACAAACATCACTCACCATTGCCTACCCAGAACGCCTCCAAACATGCTATCCAACCTGTCTCTGTGTTTTCGTCTCGTACCACGCACACATAGCGTTGCTACAGTGAAACAGATCCTCTCCGGCCAATGTTCCAACGCAGAACAGCCATACCTACTTGCGCAAATCTTCCTCCTGTCTTTTTTGGCGCCCGTACTCCCGCCATGTCATTCCATTTGGGGCCTTTACGTCCAAATAGTGTCTCCACAAAGCTTTATCTAGCGCACACCGGAATCCGCCGATGAAAATCGCCGGAAGCTGCCGCTCGTGCATCTCCAGTTTGTCCCAAAACTGCTTCTGGAAAAACCGTTGGGACCAGAAATGTGTCGAAATAGCAACATCGCGCGCTATGTACCCTTGCAGAGCTTCCTCCTGCAAAACCATGACATTTAAAAACCCCAAACCACAGCCAACATTGAAGCTAAACCACCTAGCCCAAATTACAGAGAACGAGCAAATGTGGTAGATTTTGCTCTTGCCAGTTCATGCCAAGTCATGCTACTTCAAGTGGCGTGCCACTTTGCGTGGCGTATGCGACTTCAAGTGACGTGGCACTTCGAATGGCGTATGCCACTCCACGTCACGTGGCATACTACTCGGCCTGGTGTGCCACTTCGAGACGTATGCCACTTCAAGTGCCGTGGCACTTCGCGTAGCTGCCGACCGTGTAGCCTTCACGTCCCAAGTCCCGTAAGCCCACTTGCCGCACCGTGAGCAATCCACGTCATGCCACTTCATGCCACTTCAAAAGGAGTGAAGTGACGTGAGGTGGCAAAATCGGTTTACGAACCTCCGCGTGTCCCACCATGAGCATGCCACTTGATGCCACTTCATGCCACTTCAAGTGGCGCATGCCACTCCAAGTGGCGCATCCCACCATGCGCAGGCCACTTCATGCCACTTCATGCCACTTCCAGTAGCCCTTGCCACTTCAAGTGGCGTGTCCCACCGTGAGCATCCCTTTGCATCAAAGTCAAATTCCGGCCACGCCAGGTTCGTCTCATTTTTCTCCATGTTTGAACAAGTTCTACCATCCTTTCAAAATATAAGTCTCCAAACCCATTGATATACCCAGACAAAGGACTACCGGCGCCTACAAAATTACTTTCCTTCGTGTGATCCCCACCATGACATTTATACATGTTGTTACTGGCAAATCTTCTGGCATTCTATCTGACATATTTTCTGGCATTCGATCTGGCATTCTATCTGGCATATCTTCTGGCATTCTACCTGGCATATCTTCTGGCAGATGTTCTGGCATATCTTCTGGCAGATGTTCTGGCATATCTTCTGGCATATCTTCGGGCATATGTTCTGGCATATCTTCTGGCATTCCATCTGGCATTCTATCTGGCATATCTTCTGGCATATTATCTGGCAAATCTTCTGGCATTCCATCTGGCATTCTATCTAGCATATCTTCTGGCATATTATCTGGCAAATCTGCTGGCATTCTATCTGGCAAACTTTCTGGCACTTTATCTGGCATATCTTCTGGCATTCTAGCTGACATTCTATCTGGCATTCTATCTGGCATACCTTCTGGCATTCTATCTGGCATATCTTCTAACATTCTATCTAGCATATCTTCTGGCACTCTATGTAGCATATCTTTTGGCGTGGATACTCGCGGTTGCGGTCCGGCAGGGAACACTGGGCGTGGATGGTCGTGGTTGAGGTCCGGCAGGGAACACTGGGCGGGGATACTCGCGGTTGAGGTCCGGCAGGGAACACTGGGCGTGGATGGTCGTGGCTGAGGTCCGGCAGGGAACACTGGGCGGGGATGGTCGTGGTTGAGGTCCGGCAGGGAACACTGAGCATGGATGGTCGTGGTTGAAGTCCGACAGAAAACACTGTGGATCGCGGGTCGCAGTTGGACGAGGAGGACGAGGAGGAGGACGACGAGGAGGAGGAGGAGGAGAGGAGGAGGAGATGAGGAGGCGGAGGAGGAGAGGAGGAGCAGGCAACTGACATAAAATCTAACAACCCTCACCTGGCAGGTGGGGAATAACAGTTCCTCTCTCTTGTCGCATTCACATGCTCAATCGTCCAACGAATTTCCATAACCCCTTTCCTGCATCACGTGCTTCCGCAACATGCCTTGCTGCAAATTGTACGCCTGCTTGGGGCCTGGCCCTCCGGACGTGTAGCCTTGCCCCAATGTCTCACAAGACGGCAAAGTTTCCCTCAAAAATAATGCCAAATTTTTCGCAGAATAGCCACTTCCCCGGCAACCGGGCATTTTCTGTAAAGCCTTCCACTGCAACCTCTCTGTCTTCTTCCCACTTCCTAATGCCTCCAAAACATCATGGCATTGTTGAACAGACGGCAGCTTCTCGCGCACCAGTTTGTGCAAGCACGCCTCACGCAAAGCATCCCTAACTTTCTTCTCCGACTGCTCCTCACATGCCACCTGCTCTTCCTCATCGCTGCTGTGCTCCTCCACAACATCAAAGCTATGCGATCTGGTTGCTGCTTTTGCTCATTCATTCGCATAAATTTTCTGCGGGGAATACCTTCGATGGAAGGGGTTCTCCACCACCTTTGCCAACACATTGCCGAAAACTCCTCCAATATTCATCGTCTTGCTACATGTCTCCAAGCAACTCCAGCTAATCAAGTCCACATTCGACACAAGCGTGCCCAAAAACGAGTCACTGCCAGTGAAAAAAACCATGAATGTCACAATCAAACCAATCAATTCTGGGGCTATTGCCTTTGCCGCCTTCACACCTACCAAAGCCACCTGCTTAATCACATTCACCCGTTTGCGATGCCAGGTCGAATTCGATGCCACTGGCTCTTCAAAGTCGTACTTCATGAGCCAGTCTGCCACTCTCTGGCCCAAGAACACATGCCCTTCGTGCGGCAGCGCCACATCAGCCATCTCACTGTGCCGCCGCTTCACAGTCAGACACTGTCGCGCTATGAATAACTTCCAGAAGGATTCCTCAAACCGGACAATCGCATGACCAGGCAACTTGAAATTGTGCGTTCTAACTTCGGTTCTACGCTGCCTGTCTTTCTGCTCTCTCCGGTACATGGCGGAAGACTTTCGCTTCCGTATCACCTTTTTTTTCTTCATGGCAAAACCTTTGCTTGCCTTTCCCATTCTAATTTCTTTTCCTTGAGCATTGCAACATCTACATCCAACCACACGCACCACAACTCCCTTTGCCACAACAGTATCCGGGCCTGATAAGACCAACTCGTGCTCGCCATGCCCAAAGAGCCTCAGCAGTCCCACACCCCACCCATTCGAACCACAACAACACTACCCGCGCACGTAGCTTACCATCCTCAACCAACACCCGCTGGCAGTATGGTCCAGTATCTCAAACCCAACTTCTCCTCTACGTTCCCAATTCAAAGCCCAAAGCAAGTCAACTCATGTAGGTCCAAACACCGGAAAAAAAATCCTCACAGCTGCTCCATGAACTGCATTGCCTGCTCC